TGCCCTTCTTGTGCTTGGAGGGTCTTGCGACAGCCAAGTCGCTGTCGGAACCTGCGTCCGCCAACTTGCTCGGCTTGCTCTCCTTTTGCTTGGGCGGCCGCTGCACAGCCAAGTCGCTGTCAGAACCATCAGCGGGTTTGCGTTGAGCATGCTTCGGTGGCCTTTGGACAGCCAAGTCGCTATCGGAGTCACTGCCCATGGCGGGCCTAAGCGCCGCGACCTACATTGACACCTCTATGGTAAGCAAAGCCATCTCGGCAAAAGGGCGCGCAATGCATTGCCTTTGGGGGCTTCGTGAAACGAGTCTGATTTCTGTAATTGGGCTGGTGGCTGTGACTGTAGCTCGCTTCGCACTCGCCCTTCTGGCATGCCAGGACATGCACGCAGATATGCCTCGGACTGGCGAGATCGAAAGTCTGCCAGCTGCGATAAAGCCTCTCCACGACGGAGCACTACACCGCTGGGGTCAAGGTGCCAGAGCGGTAGAGAATGCAGATGGAATGATGCACATCAGCTAATGGATCTGTAGTAGAACTCCTCAACCAACCAAAACCCCGGGAGCTGACGCTCTGCCATGCTTTGTGCCTCTGCAGCGCGCAGGCCGCCTGCACTTGCTCGCTTGCTCAGTCAATCACGTGCTCACTGCGCTCAGCATCAACACAGAGAGACCTTCCTGAGAGACAGACGCGGAAAGATACAACAGAGACATGTGGACATGACTCCACTACGATCAGATACGATACCGAAACAAGTAGAAGCCGTGAGTGCAAGGCTTTCAACGAAGAGGTGACGGCCGCCTTTGAAGAAGTCGATGTGGGCTCCGGGGTTGATCCAGTCCTCAGGACATATGCCCGAGCTGCAGTATTGCTTCCTTCCTCGCATTTCTCGACAGCCGAACCCTGGGTACTGAAGCTTCTTCGCAGAGCTTCGGCGATGCGCTCCAGACCAACAGCTGCAGATGCGTCCTCAGGGAGAGTTGCAATTACCGATGGCCACGGCTTGTCGGCTGATGATTTCCCTATCCACGGAGCGGCTTGAAACTGAAGGCCGGACGACCACACCATTGGCCTTAATGATCACGGCTCCAAGGTTTCAGCGGCTCGGCTGAAGTTTTCCGTGAGGACCGTGCAGCTGCGCGCTTGGCCTCGATGACAGCTTCCTGGAGGCATATGTACATGCATACATATATATATATATATTTATCTATTTATACATACACACACACATGACGGTTTGTTGTGACATGTTCTAGCATACTATCGTGCATTCGGAAAGGGTGGCTGAATTCGTAGTTTGAAAGCTTTGCCCGGTTACAAGCCGCTTTCCCAACGGCACCTCGGACTCTTCGGCAAGGAGGAGCACTTGCTCAACGGCCTGGAGCAAGCATTGCCACGGTTCGAATCTGTGCTCACGGTGCCGGACGCGACGCAGGGGACATCTCAGCCTCCTGAGCTGCATCCAGCGCATACTTGACCTGACCAGGGACCCCGGCATGGTCCACTGCTGGCAGTTCGTCCCCTTTAAAGCATCACCATCTGTGCACCTGTTCCGTTTCCGCGAGATCGGCCAGCCAAGAAGTGACTCGCTTTGCCGAGGCACCTTCGAATCGGCACAAAGGGCAGCCGATCTAATGTTTTTTCTTGAAACCTGCGTACCTGTCTATCTGTCTATCTATCTGTTTCCACTATCTAGTCTAGCCATCTTACTTCCTGCGTTTACGTATGTTTATGTGTGCTATGTATGTTACGAATGCTAGTAATGCTCTTGACGCATGTCATGTCATGCCATGTCTTGTCATGTTATGGCGGTACATACGTACGTTCGTATGTGCATATGTACGTATATGTGTGTGTGTACGTATATGTGTGTGTGTATGTATGTATGCATGCATGCATGCATGTATGTACGCATGTATGCATGTATGCATTTGTGTAAGTATGATTGTATGTAAGGTACGTAGGTATGTTTATACTATGTTTATACGTGAGCATGCATGCATGACGCCATGTATGTCTGTGCGACTATGCATGTACGTATGTATACTTGCTGTATCTTGCTGTTACATACATGAATACCAACCTACCTACATACACAAATGGGCCAAACGAGCATGCATACATGCATGCATTCCCGCTGATAAGTGTATATTGGGACAGGTAATGTGCAGCAAACTGTGGCAGGTTGACCCACGTTGGCCGGCATTTCACCTCCCGGTGTGCCAGTCATCTATGAAGTGGAGTAAAAAAGGCATCACTACAGCTACGTGCACGCTCTTGACAGGCGACTCTCTGCGAACCTTGCAGCGCAGCAGCGAATGCCACCTTAGCGCGGGGATTTTTTGATGCCGCTATTGATCAAATAATCTCAGCTTTGATGCAATTTGGCACATGCCGGGTGAAACTCTGATTCTCACTTCCACAGTCAGAGACGGCGATGTTCGGGCGATGTTGGGGCCTGCCTATCTTGCGAATTTTGCAATGATAACTTTCTCCTCGTGCACAACTGCTCACAATGATGAGTATTCTATGTATATATATATATACATGTATTATTATTATTATTGTTACCATTATCATTATTAGTATTATTATGATGACCTTAATCGTGCGATGAGTCTGAGAGGGCCGCAGCCTTCGAGGCCTCCTTGGCTGCTGCCTTGGCGGCCACGTATGTGGACCTGGGCCCCCACAACGCAAGCAAATCCTACAATCGCTTGGGCTGTAGCGGAGTATTACAGTATTCTGAAACTTACATGCCACACGAGTCCTCGATAGCCCTCGAAGCCACCATACCTACATATGGCACTGCATGCATGCATGTGCCACAGCTCCTTGTGCCTACGCCTCTCTTTGCTCATACGGCCGGGTGCACGACACTCCAGCGGCCTGTGCTGCTCGAAAAGCTTTCAGTGCAACCTCCCGAGCCACCTGGCACCAAAACGGGTCTGTTTGCGCCGCCTCTACAAATCATAATGATAAGGGTGTCGACTCTCGCTTGAGGCGGCTTCACGACGGCCGGTCTAACTACACTAACTACACTAGAGCATGAGGGCATGAACACAAATTAACACGGAAACCCTTCATCCAAAAAGAAGGGAGCGGATCAGCAACTGGGACACTGGCGCCCTGATGCATGGATAAGCAGGCGGCAAAAACTTACAAGAAGTTGACAGGACAACTTCGGATGAAACCGGCAGCGGTCCCACTGGCCGACACCAGGTGGAAGGTCGCAAATTTTGCTTCCGTTCGGAAAGCCGCAGGGCAGAACGCCTAGGGTTAAGTGCACGATCTTCATCAAGGCCACCCTCCTCTTCTGCGAAGGCGTCCGGGGCAGTGGATTACATATGGAATTTCGTACTCAAAGGGATCTTGGGACTTGTCGGCTGCAGCTCTTGGGGCTTTCAGTGTGGCTGATAGAGATGATGAGAGCGCGGGCTTCTCGTAAGACAAGCATAGACAAAAAGGCGTGCCTCAACTACTGGAACCAAAACACTTCACAGCAGCTTGGACGGAGCAGCCTTCACTGACTCGCCTGCTTCCACCACGGCTTTCTGTAAGCCCGGTAGAGGAGTCCATCTAGCTCCCGAAGACCTATTTAGGAGGCCCTTTTGAAACTCTGGAAGAGAACCCTAGATCACTAAATCTATCACCAAGTTGCAGCTTACAGGCTTACAGCTTCAACCTGCGAAAGCAGCTTTGTAAGCTTGATAGTCCTTCGAACCTCTTCCAACAGCGCCGCTTTTTGGATGCCAGCTCATGTCAACAACAGCACTAAACTGAAACCGTTGAAATGTCTGCCCATCCCTAACTTCCCGAGATTTGGCCAAGCTGATGATGCACTTGGATGGGTCCGGCCTCCTTTCGAGCTGAAGACTGCGAGACAGCACGCCTCAGCATCAGCATGGGTCACGGCCTTCTACTCATCCTCAGCCAGACAGAGCTAAAGGTCATACTCTCTCTGTTTGGACCATGAGACTTCAGCAGAAAGGACCTGAAACCGCTCGGCAGGACAGTAAGCTTGGATGAGCGGGAGGCGCACGTCCTGCAATTTGCGCTTTTCGATTCTTAAGTATAAGCTTCGCACGCAGCCGCTGCAGCACCGATGGCACCCTGCAAAGTCTGACTTCAAGACTCTTAACAATCTCTGACTCTTAACATGTTTGGGTTCATGGATGACCTAAGATGTGTTCTAGGCCGCAGTCTGACTATTCCTGGACGACAAACTACAACTTAAGCCCTCAACCCAGGTCAACTTCTGCGCATGAAGGGATGGCACTTGCATTTGCATCCTGCTCGAATTCCCTGGATACTAGATCAGATTCAATGACTCAGCCAATGCCGGAAATCCCACCAAGAACCACATGCAGGAGGTAGCCTTCGTCGCCACAGACCAGCCAACCTGTCATCAAACATGGGAACAACTAAAGTAACTAAAGTCGTCGCAATAAGTCCATCGATGCTTCTAGATTCTAGTCGTTCTGAAGCCTACCACCACCCTCGCAAAGTCTGCCTGCTGAGGCGAGGCTCCCTGCTTCACCGCAGCGTCCGCGGCATGCCTTTGCTGCATTTTTCTGCGATGCACTGCGTGCAATGCCGACCAAGCCAAAAGCAGGTTGTCCAAGCAGAATATCAGAATATCTGCTGCATGCCAAGATGGAGCTGGCAAGTGCAACCAAGCGACTCAGCAGCATCGGCAAAGCTGCTTCGACATCTGATTTTCGATTCGACCTGGTTTCCGAATCATGGGTATCAAAGAAGACTTCTGCTGCAAAGGAGGGGCAGGCTGACGAGCGGAGCAACTGAGAAAGCTCTTTTTGTTTCGGCTTGCCGTGCATGCCCACATCACTCGCGCCAGCGATCCAATGTGACCACCCTGGCGTGGAGCCGTAGACTTCAGTGCAACTGCCACATGGTATCTGCAGCACCGCACTTGTCATCCGGGGCTCGGGCGTGTGACCTGCCTCCAGAGAACTGGCTCTGTAACCATGTCCTTGGCCAGTGGGGCCGTCTTGGGTCGAGCTGTGAATTCTACTGAAAGAGGCCGATCTTTGGCGACCAAGCTTCTCTTGAAGAGCAGCGAGAAGATACTTTGATCCGCTTGGTGTGTCATGAAGCTCGGCACCTGCAAATGTCTTTCGTCGCAGTGTGTCGTGGACGTTCAAAGACGTGGAAAAGGCCTCGTCATCCAGAATGTCGCTGGTCAAGGTTCCAGTTCCTGCAAGCCGTTTCCATCTCCGACAAAGGCAGCTAGCGCAAGTTGTGAGCTTCCTCCGTGTGAGTTCAAGTTGCGCACGGCCAGGCCCATGAGGATATCAGGATCCTCAACAGCAGAAAGAAAGGCCAAACCTTCGTTGCCAACTTCGCTTCTCGGACACATCTTCGAACCTCGGAGAGCTTCAGCCACTGCTCCACGAACGAGAGGACGGCCTGAACTTCATTTGACTCTGCTGCCTGCTGCTGGGCATCTCAGGGTTTTCTGCCTTGGTCTTTCGGAATGCCAGGAAGTAGGCGCCAAGTTGAGGCCGATCGATCAAAGCATACCTCCCATTTTCAGCTTGCAGGTGACCCTAAGATTAGGGTCTGCACTCGATTTTTCAGCACAAAATCGAGCCTTGAAGACATGTTCCTGAGGATAAGCACACAGACCGTGCATTTGGGTATGCCTCTGATATGATAATGTGCAGGGCGGCAGTTTCTGTGGGAATCCGAAGCCTACTCTGCCCGAGCTTCATCTGCTCCAGCGTTAGCTTGCTTGTCCAGTCCACTTCCAGGCACTGCTTCAGGCGCAAGGCCACGACGTCTGACTCCTGGAGCGGGCATTTTTACGGAAGCTCGGGCCATGAGGGTGAGGAAAGAAGGGACCGGTGGCCTCCAAGGCTGAGGAAAGAAATGGCCTTGGATCTGCATGCCTCAGTCCAGGTACCAAGAAACCGGCACTACTCTGGGTCATGTACATGTCTATATATCCGGAGTGCAGCTGTGGCACAGGTAATTTCCCGCATCCACCCACAAAACCACACCTTTGTCCCAAGGAATCGATGGATCCTGTGCACGCAAACTCTCCGACAAAGGCACACAGGGTGCCCGGAGCCTAATCAGTGGGTCACGCAAGAACAAGTCGTCCTTGAGGGTTTTCAGGATGACATAGGACTTCCAAAGCCACCACCCAGCCCCCCTCTTCTGCGACAGGACTTGGTGGTTTGCAGCCAACCAGTCTGGACCCAGGTGTTGCTTCCCGTAGGATCTGGCTGCATCCACTCCAGCTTTGAGCGCGTGCTCTCTATTACGCTGCAGCGACTTTCGACAACAACCATGCGCATAGCTGATGGCCACCAAGTACAGGGGCTCCTTCTTTAGCAATACCGACACCAGCGGCGCTGAGACAGGTTCTCGCCGATACTTCTGCAGAATCTTCGCAGCGTTGGGGTCTAAGGCTGGAGACAGGAGAGCCTTCTTGTTATAGAAAATCCGGAAGAGTTCCTCGGGAGATTCCTCAGCACCCCAGAAATGGAAGAGCACCACATCTTCCTCCCGGCCACGCCAACCATCTCCACTTGAAAAGCCACTCTTGATGAAGCTCCAGTTGCTGTTAATTGAAGCCAGGCCAACCCTTGGCAGAAAGGTGTGCGTTGGACCTTCGGTCTCATGTCCCGTGGTGTTCCGGCCCTTGTAATCAAACACACCAGCAAAGTCCCCCTTGTTGTTGGTTAAGAATTGGTCCCATGCTTTGTGGTCCAGCAGGTAGGGGTTTTCACGCAGCCAGCTCGCAAACCCCATAAGCAGGGAAACTGCTTCCTCAGTCGGCCGGGCTATCACAACTGCGGGAGTCACGGACTCCGACAGCATGTGCCGCGAAAAGAGAAGGCTGGCAGATGGCTGTCTGGCCAGTTCAGACATCACAAAGGGACTGGGGTCGGTAACTATGAACACATCCAAGTCAAGCCATACAGCGTGCATGCCCGACCTCGCTATGGAGGCCATGGCTATGTACTTTGCGACCATGGTCTCAACGCCCAAACGTTGAGGAGCATCGATGCACTGAACCAATGGCCGCTTGTCATTAAACTTCTGCGAAGTCTTGCAGTTCCTTAATGCTAAATGATCCCGGCAAAGAACCAGCAAGGGGGATGTCTTGGACACCACTCGCCAGCGCTTTAACACCGCATCCTTAGTTCCAGGACAGCCCGAACGAAAACATGGCACGGGCCTAAGCCACCAGCGGGTGATACACCCAACTAAAAATGACCAACATATATTGCATAAACTAATCTCATCTCAAGAATCCAAAATCTTCGACATCCACCCCCAAGCTGATGTCAAAAAAGCCATCGGCGCAGCCTCGCCTCCCGATGCAAACTTGGTCTCGGTGACTGCGTCCACTTCTGTCACCAAGGACTTAGCCGCGTCTCTTGCAGCCGCGTGTTCGTTGTCCTGGTTCCCCTTCCAAATATCATGCGGATGAGCTCGCTGCAGCAAGCTAGCAAAGTGTAGAAGCCGAAACACGGGCCAATCCGTCTTGGCAGTTTGCTGCACCGGCCCGTAAATGTTCACCAGCTGTGCGACACTAGCCACTTGCTTGTGCAGCCGACCTTCAATGTCGCGAAGCAGTACCACGAAGATCTGAAGTATATAGCAGGAGATAACTCCCAAATGGCAGCCAGCTTTATAGTGGTGCTGCCGGTATGCATCGAAGACGTCGTGCGAGAAGTACACTACTTCCTCTGAGGTCAGACGCTTGTATTTTGGAATCTTTAACAACTCGGTAAACCTTGAGCACTTCCTGAAGACCTAGTCACCGTCAAGCTCTTCATGCATCTTCGACTGGCCTTCATCGCGGGCAAAGAGTGGATCCGCTGCCACCGCGCCGAGTACTGCTGGGACAAAGGGCCGTCCGAGGGCCTTGGAAGGTACGCAATGCTTGCTGCGTCTCGCTTCGGATTTGGTTGGAATTGAATGCCAGCAAAGCTGCTTCAGATCGAAAATAGACTCATCGGACACCAGTTCATCTACCTTGCAAGCAGCAACATGCAGTGGGTAATGGCATTCCATATAGCATATTGAGCTCCGCACGGCTTCCGAGAGAAGCTTCTTGAACTGCGGCCAATCGAAGACGTCTGGGTCACCTCGAGCTGTCGGAATTTCGATGCACGTTGAGCCCGCGAGACCGAAAGCAGTCCGAGGGTCTGTTCCACTTGGTGTTCTTCCGGCAAGCCCCTAAGCCTCAGATCGAGCCACAGTGGGCCCCACAGTGTGCAGCAAGCTCGTCCCTGTGGCGTCACTGGCTTGCTATAAGCTGTGCTGGAAGTCTCCAGGTTGGAGGTGAAGCCCGACAGCCGAAAGCTGAGTGCCAAAGCTCCGAAGTCGGGTCGGCTGTGCAAGAAGTGCCTCCAAGTCGCGGGTACTGCCCTTCCTCAGTTGAGCCCGAATGCTGAGCAAAGAACAGCAGCTTTGAAGAGCAGCCGCCATGATCCCAAAAGTGCGAAGATGCACTGCTTCTTTGGGCCGCCTTGTAACTGAAATTTGAACCCAATCCGATCCTCGATGCACAAAGCGTGGCCTGGCGTCTCCGGTATGAGCCGCGCGAGCAGGTCCAGCATTCGAAAGGCCGGCCAGGGGCTTCGCAGCACCAGGTGGAAGCGCGTGTTGTGCTTCGTCTCGTAGCTGAGCACCTATCAAAAAGAGGTTTCTGTGCCAGAGCTAAAGCCTCTAAAGCCTCCCTATCAAAAAGAGGTTTCTGTGCCAGAGCTGAAGCATCTAAAGCCTCTAGCCTCAAAGGAAGGCTCCGGATTTGCAGCCAAACTTGGATCCGAGGCACCGTCATCTGTCCCAGCAGGTCCTCATCCAAAGAGGAGGCACACCTGATGCGAGGTGAGGAGTCTCTGGAAGCCTGCACCCTGCTGTGGCCACTCTAACAGGCGCTGCTGCGGTTCGATCTCTGTTTCTGATTGCTTCCAAGCCCCGTGCTCCAGTGCTTGCTCCGCATCTGCTCCTCTAAGAAGCCTCGGTTGGAAACGTATTGTTCATCATGTTTATGCCAATTGTAACCGTTCTTATCATGTTTAGTCTTGTTCATATTAACAGTATTGAATTACAATTGTAGCTGTATTATGCTTGTACTGTAATAACCATGGTAACCAAAAGGATCGTTTCTGTAGTAATCATATAATATATTAAGCCAAGCTTTGGTCTCTGCTCAACACCTCCTGTCCATTCTGCTGCCATTACTTCTTCGAACTACGGCAAACTGTGCTAGCCCAGATGCAAGATGCAGGTGGTTGCCAGCCTGCAGCAAGTGGCTGAAGCAGTCAGCTGTTGTGCCGCAGCAAGTCTGCGGGTAGTACGTCATCGACTACACTTACCCAGAGAGCCCAATACCCCCTAATTAATAATTAAGGAGTATACCTTAAATCCTAATATTCAGGCCCCTATAATTTAAGGTATTAAAGGGTTTGGGCTCTCTGGGTACGCAAAGTGGTAGTAGGGGCCGGGCCATGCCAGCTTGCCAGGCTCGCAGTAAGGCCTGAAGCACATCTTAAGCAGTTATGCAACACGACTGAGTCGCCGTATGTCGCGGTGAAGCTGATAATCTTCGAGGTGATTGAGTTGGGTAAAGTGAACCTGCTTCCCTTTCTACAGATGCTTGCTTCTGCTGGGAGCTGTTGCAGCTCATCCGACTGATATTGCCGGGGAAGCTGATTGCTTAGGCCGATTGTTTATTCCATCTGGAATCAATTCCTTTGGGAACCCTGTGACTTCATTGGGAGCTTCCGCCTTGCCAGCACAGCCGGGGCCAGCTGCTGCATAGCATCTGCGCGGCCTTCAGCAGACCACTTGTCGAACACCGCCCAGGCTTTCTCCTGCAGTTGTGCTGATGTGAATTCTGTTATACTGATGATGGCAAACGAGGTCATGCCGACGGTGGTGCTGGTGGTGGTGAGAAAGGTGTAGATGGCAGCAGTGATGGTGATGATCCTGACGTTGGTGATGCCTGTGGTTGTGATGCTGTGCTGATGAGGCTGCAGCCGAAGCATGTGCTATAGCTTCTGGTGATCAAGAGGCACCTGTGGACAACCAGGACGGGAACCAATCATAATATTCTTGACACTGCGTGTTTCTGGCGGCGCAAGCAACACCTTTTTTTCTCGCCAGCTGCTTGGACTGCTCACAGCCGCCGACGAGGCTTCGGTACTTGCCAAGGTCAGCGAGCGTAGTTCGATTTCACATCTTGTAGCCACTGGAACACGCGGGTGGCGAGCTGCTGCTCTGCCTGGCGGGGAGCCAGAAGCCATCAAGACAGACGCGTTTTTTTCCAAAGGTCCTGCCCTACTCCGAATACCTAACACTCCCTGTAAGGCTTCAGAAGCTTCAACCTTAAGGCTGGCACGATGCCAAACATCCTCTGCAAGTCGTGTTTCTCATGCAATGCGTGGCTTTCACTCAGGGGCGACCTCGCTGCGCTTGTCCGGATGCCACTCTCGAAACCTCAGCCAGACATACGAGGCGTGCTTCCAACTTCAACGCGACGCCTGGGTTCCTTATCTGCCGAAAACTCGAGCAGCATCGAAGTCATTGGGAGTGAGTCTAGCCCCTCCTAAAGTCTTAAAGCTTGACCCTATGCTGCTGCACCCTATGCTATACTAGACCGACGATTCTATTCTATGCTATATTATACCTGATAGTATGGTATACCCGAAGGCCCTAGTAGGTAAGAAGCCGGCAGCATTGCAGCTGGGCTGCATCTGGCGCAAGCGTCGTTGCGCCTCCTGCTCGTCTCCCGCAGAATCCAGGCGAGAACGCAGCCCTTGCACCTGTCTGTCCAAGTGTTATCATCTACTATGTTAGCACTCACACTCGACGGGGTCAGGCGAGGTATCATCTACTATACTATACGACCATATGATACAATATACTATGGTGTTCAGTGACTGTGCCGAAGCATGGCGACGTGGGGAAAGTCCAGAAAGACGGCATGCAATGGGCTACGGTGCAGACGCAATGCAGCGGAGCGGCCACCTTTGCAGCCTCGTCCATGCCACCGGATCGTGCACCTTCAGACCCGAGTCGGCTCCCGGTAAAAAGAAGCAGCCTGACCCTATGCCAAAGTCACAAGAAGACGAGTCCCGGAAGTAGTAATGCTACGGGAAGTCACCAATTTGGATGTTAGGGGATTCTCACAGGACTCAGCAGGATTGCACGCCGAAGTGCTTCCATCCTTGCGCTGAGACTGGGGCATCGGAGCTTCTCCTGGCACTCTAAGCTCTGTTCTTCGTGCATCGCTGGGGAACCGGGATGCAGCTGCCCTATGTCAGCTTGGGTGTGCCTGGTCCATACCCGTGGGCGGCAGCAGCTTTAGTTTGTGGTGGTGGCTCAGGAGGCGTCGCTGGCACCCATCTCCACTGCACAAGGCCATCTGGGACCGGACCTCGCTAACATCCAAAAACAGGAACGAAGAGGACCGGGTCTTGAATCAATCTATTCGTAGTAGATTGCTCCGGCGGGCCTCGCTGCTGCATTTGCAATTTGATCAAGGCCTCGATACTTTCGAATGAGTCGCACGAAGCACGACCGAAATCTATGTCAAAATCTCTGGGGCAGCGGCAAGCCTACCCCATTGATTCAGCTCCCAAAGTATTCGCTGCTCGAACATCTCTCCCTGGGCAGCAGGTCTTGCAGCTCAGAGCGCTAGCATGTGTTAGCGATTTTGGCTGACTATAAAAAAAGGCAACGAACATGGACGTCGCCACGAGGACGACGACGAGCTCCGCGAGCACCACACTGCTGCTGCTGCTGCTGCTGCTGCTGCGTACTGCTATAGCAGCTGCAGGCACTGCTACCACCACTCCCACCAGGACGACGACTACCACAGTGACGACTGTGACTGTGCTACGGCTGATACGTGTACTGATGCTGCTACGGCTGCTGCTCTGCTCGCACTGGTACCACCAGTGCTATGAAACAGCGACAAGTACTAATTGCGAGTTCCACAGCAACTCCACAACAAGTCCTGCTCCTGTGCTGCTACTTCTCCTCCTCCTCCTCCTCATCCTCCTTATCCAACGACGGCGGGACTCCCATGTGCAGTCTGGGACGGCAGTTCTAAGTCAAGTTGCCGTCTGCACCAGCAGCGAGGCGAGCGGGGTTCCTACCAGCATGGATCCCACGGGACACCGAAAACAGCATGTTGTGGTTTCCTCGCTTTCGCTCTATCTCTCCCACTTGCTTGCTTGCAGCACTGGTTTGGCCTCATACACAGGCGGACAACACTTTGAAATCAAGATCAGTGTTAAGCAGGCAGTTGATTCACTCATTGTAATGGGCTCGCCCCTTCGCCACGATCAAGTTGGCACTTGCCGCTCGATGCATTACACCATCCGGAAGGGCGGCTGTCAGATTCGTGCGACACGAGCGAGCGACTTTCGAGATGCGCTGCGGTCTCATGGCTGTTGCCGCATCACAGCAAGGATGGGCTTGACATAAGCAAGGCCTTCGCAATGCAGCTCCGTCAGCTGTCGTAGCTGCTTGAAGCTCACCGGCAAGCCAACAATCTCGTTGCCAGCCAAGCCTCAGGGCCGCGAGAGTCTTACAGTCTTTCACTATTCCTGTCCATCTCTCTCTTTCTTTCGCCAGGGCTGTGGTGAGCCATCTCTCTCTGAGAGAGATCTCTCTGCCAAGCATGAGGAAGGGGTGCAGGTGGGCTTTACCCCAGCGCGGCTGGGGCATCGGCAGTTGCCGAGATCAACATTTTAGTCGACCCCCTGCAAGCAGCCAACAGCTAACAGTGTGTCCAGCTATCTATCTATCCTTTCTATCTACCCCTCCCTACACAAGCCTCCACCGCCACCCCTTGGTTCCTGCCGCCTAAACCCTGAACCCTAACCCAAAAGACCC